ACAGACGAAGATGTCCCAATGTTGTCGAAGAACAAGTTAAAACCAAATTGAGTGATTTCAATTTCTTCGAATATGTGAGCATTGATAATGGCATTTTTACAAGCGAAATGTTGACCGATGAGCAAATTATACACTCTGTAGCCTCATCTACAGCTTTAAGCGATAATGAGAAAGATGACGATTTAGGTGAAGTTTTTATTTAGTAGAATACGTCTACTGTAGACACTAATGCTGTTCCAACCATTTCTGAAATGACAAAAAAAGTGTCAGAAACTCGGAGTTTTCTACAATCACGCCAAGTTCCTAATCATATCTGGGAGTCCTTTTGTGATCTTGAAAACTACATAAATAACATCTATTTCTGCAGCAGAAATGTACAAACAAAAATTACAGACTTTATAAAGTCGATTTCAATTTGAACTTTGTTTAACTTTTTGTGCTCTTTTTAGCCATACCTACTAACTTCTACTACTCTATGTAAAAATAACGAAATAAAATACACCACGTGTTTTTTTATTATTATTCGCTCATAGCGAACTCCGGATATAACGAACCAGTTTTAGTTCATTTTCAAGTTCGTTATATCCGGACTCATTATAGAAAAATTAATAATTTTTCGAGCGCCTGCAACTGTAATTTTTTACATAAAATTTGTGTGTCTGGGGGTGTTTTGGAAGTACAAGAAAAATAGTAAAAACTATTAATTGCTATCAATAAGAAGGCTGGCAACAGCGTTTTTGAAGGTAATCTGCCTGATTAACATTACATAAATACTTCTTAATTATTTAAAACTGTAGTAACCATTGAAACACAAACACAACAAGAGGGAAAGTGGAAATTCAATAATTCGAGGTACCAAATTTTGCGTAAATTGTCGAAAATGGGAATTTACAAGAAAACATTTGCAGCAAATGTTGGGTTTTCTGGTCCGTAGATAGATTCCGAATCGTAGAATTCCCAAAAAATGTATTACAAAAGAAGGAACAATTGAGAATATGCAGCGTCCAGAACATGGAAGATTTAGATGATAGTTAGAGTTTGTTAGAACCATCGGGAGCAAGCAAATTCTCAAATGTCCCCGCCCATTTTGACTCTAACATTGTTGGGGCTTTTAGCCAGCTTAATATTAGAAAATTTAATATAGAAAAACAGTCAATTGAGTCAACTGAGCGCAATTCGAATCCGATTTAATTGCTAGTTACTTAGTCCCAGATCCCAGACATTAATTAACATTTGAATTTTCCTGCATCTTTGCCACTTTGGAGATATTTGCTGAAATGAGCTGAAACTTAACACACGCGCAAATAATCATCAAAAGAAAAATGTGATAGGGAGCGGTTTAAAGGTAATTTCACCTAGTCTGATGGCGTCATGTTTTATATTCACCATTCAATCTCCGCATACAAAAGGTTAAAATGACAATTCAGATCAAATGGTTTCCCCCCTGCCATTAAAGGCACACCCTTTTGGGACGCAATTTGCCTTTTGTGCCACCAGCGAGGACGCTGATGGGCTTATTAATGGTAGACGCGACTGTTAAAAATTAAGCGAATTGTATATACTTTCCTTTTTTTTGTCTGCAAAAAATGCATGCAAATTTTCCCGATTTAATCAAGTTACTCTTTCCTCTAAATGCGCAATTTTGTAAAGTTTCACTTACAAATGCTGCCAAATTTGCTAATCTGAAACAAAAAAACGAAATTTAGAGGAACCATTTTAATGTTTTCCTGGGTCGATGTGAAGAGATATTGGGAAACGATTGAAACATTCTTGTGGCAGCTTTTTCCCTTGCATAACAATGATATTCAAATGCAACGTTTCGATTTTAGTCAACCATCGTCAAGTTTTCTCGTCGTTACTTTCCAAAATGACTTTTTATCAACTAAAAGTTGTTCTTATTCAAGATTCTACATTATTAGTTTCTGAGCTCAAAATAAACAATTTCCCTAGCCACAAGCAAATTTTATTGAAAATCACTCACAGAAAAACAAAACCCGTCTTCACTTTTCCTTCAGCCAAACCATATTGCGTGCTAATTCGTAAAGTGAACCCCATGGAGTTGGTTATTCTTGTGCAATTAGGCTGACCTTTTTCCAGCTAATGGCTCTATCGATTCTCAGTGGGATTTCAAAAATAGGTCACACTCTAACACGTAAATCAGCTGGCGCTTTTCGGATTTAAACGAAGTAGGAGCTTATTAAGCTTCAGATATATGAAGCGCGAAAGCGAACGTCTCAAGAAAATATCAGGGACCTTGTAAAAGGTCCATGAGGGTCCATAAGTAACTAGAAACTCCTAGGGGTTGAATATTCCATCTTGTAGGTATAAAGAGGTAATTTTTATTACAAAGCCAATAGTTCTTAAAGAGCGTTAAAAAATTGTCGAGCCTGCTAGGTGGAACTTAACTGAACTGATGGTGGCACTGCCTGATCTTCGAAACGTAAGGTTTGGACATTTTTTCATATACCCACTGCTTGCCTAATTTAACAGGTTTTAGAGCAATTTAGTTCTTTATGGGTCTGAATCGCCCATTCGGCCCCAGCCCTCCTTTTAATGAGTCATTTTTTAGGCGGATGCCCAAAAAGCATGGCTATTTGGATACCACCTACCGGTCTAACCTTGGTCATTTGTTAAATCCCAATTTTATGGTACCCACACATCAGCATCAGGTGTATTAATTTGTACAAATGTATTTGTTTCTGCTTGATTAAGTTACGGTACTTCGAATCGTTTTTCTCGTTTGATGGTACCCTCGTAGGCATGTGTGATCTAATATTATAGATTCATCTCCATCGCAGTTTCAAGGGACTTTTAATTGTTTACATCCTAGAAACGTAAATTCCGGTTTACACGCTTCTATGCACATCGAAAATACGGCGAGGATTTTATCTTGCTGTTACTCGTATCAAGATTGCGGCAGATCAGAGCTGCGTTCGCGAATTTGCGAATTAGTAAGCTACCGAAGAAAACTTTTACGAACGTTTTTCGCAATTATGGCGCAATTATTCAGTCAATGAGAATTTTTCGGAGTTAGCGCAGTGCTACGCAAATGGCTTGATGCGCCAACCCAAAGTACCGGCGCAGAAACTCAGCTCCGTTGCTGGAAAAATGTTGACGCTGTTTTTTGATTTATTTTAAGGGCCATTTATTAATAATTTTTTTAGAGTTTCTTCAAAATTTCAGAATTTTCCGGTTTTACCCAAGTTACTTTTTCTTCAAAATGCTCAATTTTGTAAAGTTTTACTTAAAAATGCTGACAAATTATGAAATAAACTTTGAATGGTTCGTCGTTTGGTAAAAAGTCCTGAAATCCGTTTCCAGCTACCAATTTGGAACAAAAATCGAATAACTTTCCATCAAAAAACGAACAGAATAAGCGAGAGTGTATAACAAATTATTTGGACATCTCGTCACCTCCATACCTCTGAAGACTGCAGAATTTGTTAAAAAGATGTGGTTTTTAGGTTTGACTGGATTTTTTGGCTTTATTTTCTGCTCAATAAAGCTCTATTTTGTAGCGTTTCACTTAAAAATACTAACAATCTGGAGGTTTTTTACGCGAAAAATACAAGACAATTTATAGGTGCAAAAATTTTACAAAAATTTTTTCAGCGTCAAATTCGGGACAAAAACGAAAATAAATTTCTCCCGATTTTCATCGAATACAGTATGTAAATACAGTTGAGTCCGAATATAACGAACTTGAAAAATGAACTAAAACTGGTTCGTTACATCCGGAGTTCGCTATAAGCGAATAATACTACAAAAACACGTGGTGTATGTTATTTCGTTATTTTTACATAAATTAGTAGAAGTTAGTAGGTATGACTAAAAAGAACACAAAAAAATTAACAAAATTCAATTTGAAATCTACTTCATAAACTCTGTAATTTTTGTTTGTCCACTTCTGCTGCAAACATAGATGTTATTTATGTAGTTTTCAAGATCACAAAAGGACTCCCAGATATGATTAGGAACTTGGCGTGATTGTAGAAAATTCTGAGTTTCTAACACTTTTTTTGTCATTTCAGAAATGGTTGGAACAGCATTAGTGTATACAGTAGAATACGTTTCACCTAAATCGTCATCTTTCTCATTATCGCTTAAAGCTGTAGATGAGGTTACGGAGTCTATAATTTGCTCATCGGTCAACATTTCTCTTGTAAGAATGCCATTATCAATGCTCACATATTCGAAGAAATTTAAATCACTCAATTTGGTTTTAACTTGTTCTTCGACAACATTGGGACATCTTCGTCTGTGTTATACTCGTAGTCAGAGTCTTTTTATACTTTTCTAACAATTCGTTAAGTGGAATTTCACCGTCTGGTTCATAATCATTTTCTTTTCTTACAAATCTCCCATGCTTAAAGCAATTTGCAATGGTTTTTCGGCTAACTTTTTGCCAAGCTCTATGAAT